GGACACTGGGAGGAGGTAACTATGGGGAGGAAGTGGGAGGGGAGCTGCTGCATTGTAAATTTTGGTCAATGACATGAGACAAAGTATATGTGAACCGCTGTATGAAAAGTGAATTTACTCTGTAAATCTTCACCCAAATCCTAAAAAAAAAAAAAAAAAAAAGTTGCTGGTACCTTCTCCATCCTGGCCCTTCTGACAACCACCCTTAGTGGGATGAATGTCTTCATTGCTTCTCCTTATGCCATAGCCAATAGCTACCTTACTTTAAAGTAAATGGTGACTCCTGTGTACTGATTTCCTGTGAGCAGATGAAAATTACTAGGGATGACAGAGCAAGGCAGAGAGGTGTCTGTAATATTTAGGGCGAGCTAGTGAGCTCTTATGGAAGACTGTCCTCATTTAGCACTAATATTTTTATTCAGAGCAAGAAAAGAGCTCCCCTGAAATGCCACTCATGCGGGGCAGTTACAAGCTTTTTCATATAATGGTAAAATAACGATGCCAGCTACGAATGACACATAACTGAAAAATTGAATGAAAGGCCAGTTGACTTGCGGAGCATAATTTGTCCTTAAATTGCAGCAAGACTGACTTTAATGTCTTATGTTTTTTTAACTAGGTTCCAATATCATTTGTGGATCGTGTTTATGGTGAATCCAAGTTGGGAGGAAATGAAATAGTCTCTTTCTTGAAAGGATTACTGACTCTTTTTGCTACTACATAGAAGAAAATTACCCACTTACATTTATCATACTCATTTCAATTAAAGCATAAAAGAAGCCCGGTTGGTGATTTATATAAAATGTACTCTTAAAGCATAAATCGTAAGGTAAGGTAAATTTCACGTGAATCTTTTTTTTCCTGAAGAAACGCCACCACTTAGTATTTCAAATTAAATTAGAAAAATGAGTAGTTTTATTGATTTTTCATTTACATTTTACTGTATTATGATCTATAAATAAATGTATATGATTTTCTTTTGCATAAAACATTGCTACTTTCATTAGAGTATGTGAATGCAGAATTTCTCATATAGGAAAGATTTTTTAAATGTTCTTTATAAAAATTGAAATCAAAGCTCTGTGTACCTAACGTTTGTCAGAAGAAGAATGTTACTTATATTCATGAAATACAAATGGCTGTTTCTATATCAGTTGGGGGAAAAAGTACACACTTTTGTGCTTTCCTCAAAAATGTATCTTGGATTTCCTAACCCAACTAAAACAATACACTTAGAACAAAATGTGAAGGTTTTGGTTCTGTGCAGCTATTGATTGATGAAATATTTCATCTATCAAGGCAGTATTTAAAATATATATTATGAATTGGAAATGGCTTGGTGGCAGTTGCTTGCATAGCAGTTTTTTGTTTTTTCTCTTCTAAGCAATAACAGTGAGTTTTGTTTTGTTTGTTTGTTTTTTTTTTGCTTAAGCAACATGTATCAGTAAAGAAAAATATTGAAAACAGTGAGGCACAAATTTAGCTGCTATAGTAGTTTTTAAATATCTTCCTGAATTACTTTTATAAAGATTTGTTTCTCAAAATACTTGTTTTCATATTATTTCAAAACCCTCTCCAAAGCACACATCTTTACTAATATGGCACAATCCCTTCTCTGTAGCTTTTCTCTCCATTCAGAAAGTTCTGCTGTTAAAATATAGGTTGTTTAATAAAGCCCAGTGCAACTGTTTCATTTACCTACCTTCTTTAAAGGTAGGTGTTTAAAAAAAAAGGCAGTTTCTAATGGTACGAGATTTTGGGTCATGCTGTATATTTTAAAGTTTGGATAACACATACTTTGAGAAAATAAGCTTAAGATCCAGTTGACTTAATTTTGCAAATAAAAGGAAAAGGTATGTCTTAAGTTATTTGATAATACTATTTAAACTAAAACTCATTATTGTTGGGTCGGATCCGACTCACAGTGACCCCTCTTTGGGTTTCCGAGGCAGTATCACTACAGAAGTAGATTACCCAACTTTCCTTCTGAGGAGTGGCTGGTGGGTTTGAACTGCCAGCCTTCTGGTTAGCAGTCAAATGCCTTAGACACTGCACTACCAGAGCTCCTAATAATCCTAATATTTAGTGAACAGTATTTCTAATAACTACATTTTCTAGGTTTAATTTGGCTGCAGAAGAAAGTTAAAGTCTAATATGCCATTGGCGTTTCTCTCAAACAGATCCTACCAGAAATGAATGCCAGACAATAAATTCTTTGGTGTCATTTTGAACATTAAAACTTCCTCTTCCTCCCTCCCCAGAGCAGATGGTATATGTACACATTCCGACAGGGAATTCTCTTTTGCCCAGAGCTTTTCAGCTGACCCACCAGGGACCCACCTTTCTTGGGGAAATTATTTGTCTCATGGGGATCTCTTGAGTAACTAGAAAATTCATCCTTGTTTGATATAAACTATTAGTTTTAAGCCAATACAATAGAAATGAGAATATTCTTGGTGTTTGAATGTTCTTCTGTTCCAAATCTTTTTTCTAACCTAGACCCAAAGTTAAGTTTTCAGTATCAAGTATGTGGAGCAGAGATTAAGTAATTACCTCAGAGAACCCACAATAAAGTCTAGATAGTATTGCCTTTCAGACCACGCTATATTAAATAACTTTTGTGTTTTCAATCTTTTTAGTTCTTATTCCTACAATTATTACAACATTGTCCCTATAGGAATTTATTGTAAAGTAAGTTTTTGAGCAGTGAACACTGCTTCACCATTTGGAAGTCATTTAGAAAAGAATCTAGACTATTTAGATGCAATTTTGTACTAAATCTGATGACTTAAATATTATAAAAATCCCTTTAAACATTTACATCTGATTCCAGCATCCCTTTCTGCTTTATAATGAGGTCAAGGATGAAATCCAGATGTTTTCCCTTTGTATTTGTATGATCACAGTATGAAATATAAGCATATCAAAGGAAAACTAAAGATATTTTTTTGTTTGCTTATTAGCTTTTTCCTGTCTTCTGTGTATATTTGGTTTCTTCATTTTTGTTCCTCTTAATAGAATACTTTGTCCCACCTTTTTTTTTTTTTTAAGAAAAAATTTCAGCCATTGTATTGTCTTGCGATACTAATTTGGTTTGACTGCTAACCGGAAGGCTGGCGGTTCAAACCCACCAGCCACTCCTCGGAAGGAAGATGGGGCAATCTACTTCTGTAGTGATACTGCCTTGGAAACCCAAGGAGGGGTCGCTATGAGTAGGTCCCACTGGACGGCACATAACAGCAACAACAACGATTTTTATCACAATTTCAGAAATTAATGGAATATGCTGTGTTGACTAAAATAACGTTAACCTAGCTAACCAAAGTTTGAGACCTTCAGCTATATGTAACCACATTGTCTACTTTTTCAATTCAGTCAGGTTCTTTTGAGATGCTAAGTATCGTTCAAATCTTGTTTAAAATTTGAAATTTAGAAGAAAGTTGTAAAAGACAAGTGTAATTACAGACGCATATTTAGAAAACACAGTTAATCCTTCCCCGTTGGTATTTCTTCACTTTTCTATAGGTGTAACCAAATAGATGAGCTCTATATAAAAGGTGGGTTCAGAAGTGTTGCTAGTGTGTTGGCAGGGGTTGGCCTTAATTTACATAGACAAAAACTCTACGCTGTCTCATGCTGTCCAGATAGTGAGAACATGAAAAGTCATTGTGTCCTGGAGCACAAAGTGTACTTCTCAAGGATCTTATGGAAGCCCATTGGCAACGGCTTCACTAGTCCAGTGACCTCAAAACACTAGGGATTCCATTTTTCTTCTTTAGGTCAGAGAGGAGTCCATCACTGTGACTTGGGAAGAATGGCAAGTCCCAGGACAACAGCCAACCTTCTGCAAAACTCAGCCCCTGTCCACCAAATACCTCACCCCACCGGGAAGGGATCAGGCTGTCCATGGGGTTGTGGTTCATCTCAAGTTGGAAGGAGCAGGAGGCCCTCACACCTCATTTAAGGCTGGAGGCGTCAGCCACCACCAGCCAGGTGCCCTGCTGCTTCCCGCCGCTGCCCATCCTGTAGGCGTGGGGCTTCCGAGCACGTGGAGCCGCCCCGGGGCTGCCCACACACGCCCCTCCCGCCAGATGTAGTCCAGGCCCAGCTGGGCCCGCGCAGGGATTCCCAGCACGGCCACCTGACTGAGTGCTAGGCGTGCTGCGGCCTGCTGCTTCTGCCTCCGCCGCCGGCGCTGCGGCCAGAGGAAGGCGCCCGCCGCGCACACGGGCCCTGAAAGCGCACTGCGGCCATTATTCGCGGCGCCTCCTAGTGGGTCAATGGCAAATCCTCTTGATTCTCGCGAGATCTCTCTCTCAGTGGGGATTATATAATTCCCCTCAGGCGAGGTAAGGGACTGCTATTGGCACTCTCTCTCAGAAAAAGTTAGAAACAAGAATAGGTAAGAGAGCCATCCCTGGGGATTTGGGGCAAAGGGGGTACTGTCCCCCACTGCCCCCCCACTTGGCTGGACAATGAGTCCTATTATGCTAATGAGGTGCTTACGTCACTTCCGCTCTTTCTCGGCCGCCATTTTGGCTAGGGCAGGTTCGGGGACTCGCTCCGAAGCGCTTGTATTGTCTGCTGAGGGGAGACGCGGGATCAGCCCCCTCCCCCGCCCGTTGCCGCCGCCGCCGCCGCCAGCCCGGTCTCCCCTCCGCCGCCCGCCGGGATCCATGAGCTGAACTCCCTCCCCCCCACGGCCGCCGCCATCTTGTGCCCCCTCCCCCTCCCGCAGGCAGCGCTAAGGGAGATTTTGGCGTCTCCTCAGGCACAGCTCCCTCTCTCGGTCCCCGCTGCTGAGGAGCGAGAGGAGCGCGGCCGCCGCCAGCCTGCTCGCGCCGGTGAAGCCGCCTCTCCCCACACCCTCCGTCTCCTCCCTCCGCCCCTCCTTTGTCTGCACCGCTCG